TTCGAATTTCTGGGATATAGATGGGAGAAGGGAAGTGAATAAGGGGATGAAAACAAATGCTTCTGTGCTCAGGCAGGTAGCTGCTGTCAGAAGTAGCTACAACCGGCGATTCACCAGATTGAGCCTCAGGCTCAGCATCGACCGCCGAGTTTAAGGAGCACACACGCGCGCGAACATCAAGGATTCAACTCATCCCGATCGCCCTGAACATGTCAGACGCAAGTTCCAAGGTCAGGAGACGCGCCAGCACTGGCGAGAGATTCGGGGAGAGAACCATGGCTTTGATCGGGTCGCAGGCAACCGCGTTGCTTGCCATCAGACGGTGGAAAGCCAGATTGCCAGGCCTCGTTGCGGAATTCGCCACCCTGACCCATGCAGAGATCCTGGCCTTTTGCAAGGCTTACTTGGCGCAAGGACAGTCGAGTTGTTCAAGTTCAGAAAGCACAAGCGCAGGGACCAACCGGAAAAGCCGGCACCGCACACAGAACGAACATTCGCACACAGGCACCCACGCGCAAGCAACAGCAGTCACAAACGTAGCTGCGCGGGCCACACACTAACGGATGCGGACACTCGCCCGTGCACGCACAAACACACAAACAAACACGCAAACACGCGCACACACAAATACAGACCCGGAAAAAAACACACAATCACAAGCAAGCGCAAAGACAAACACACACGCACAGGCACACGCAAAGACACAAGCTTACACAATTTGACAAACAAAAACGCACGCACACATAAGCAAACACCAACGCAAAGGTGCAACCACGCGCGCACGCCACGCACGCGCCAACACACACAAACACTTGCACACAAACCCGCACAAGTACGAAGGCACGAGCAAACCTACACGCAAACAGAGAAACACGCTCGCACACGCAGACACACACGCATACACAAGCGTACAAACCAGCACACACACACATACACAAGCAAAAGACACACGCACAAACAATCAAATTACCCCGGCGCGAGACCCCAAACAGTGATAGGCGGCGGTCACACGCTGCAGAGTATTGTGCGGGCAGCGCCGCAAAACGGCGGTTGTTGTCAGGAATGTGCAACATCATTTTGTGGTATTTGCGCGCACACTCACAAAGACGAGGACACGTGTGTGGGAGTAGAGACACATGCAGCACCAAGAAGAAAAAAGGCGCACAGGCATGGCCAGCAGGCATGCTCGATTTTTCTTCCATGAGCAGCACATATCGGTGAGACGGCAGAATCGCAGGACAGGGCTGCTGGGATAGTGCGTGGCACTGCGCGCAGCCGCAGCAGGCCAGTCTGTTGGTAGATGCAAAGGCGCTGCGGTCAAGGCGTGGTAGCTTGTTGCTGCAAACAGCCGACGCGGCGCACGCAGAGTGCTAGTGGCAAGCTCTCGCAGCACAGAAGCGTTATCAAGGCAGGCCCAAAGACTGGGCTGTCTGGCTCGGACCCTTCCACAGCAGGCGTGTACATAAAGCGCGCGCTCCCAGATCGCAGGGCGCACAAGAAGGCGTCCATTTGGCGCCATGTTATCGAGGCAGTTCATGCGGTGCAGCGCTGCGAGGGGCGGCAGGCCGCGAAGGCGCGGATGTCGGTCGATCCACTGTTGCATGGCAGCTTCGTCTGCACAGCGGAAAGAGTTGTCAAAGAAAGTCGGCCATTGGCATTTCGTATTGCGATCCCCCGCACACTGTTGCTCACTTTCCTGAGCTCATCTGCACCCGCTCCCAATGCACGAAGGAGCTCTGTCACTCTGGTCGCTTCCTGCGCCGCCACGAGGACCTCTCCGTACTCTTCCAGTTCCCTCCCCATCTCGCCAGGCACGGCGTAGTCCAGAAGAGCCTGAAATGAAACCGCCGGCAGCACGGCGAGAAGCTTGTCCTTCGCCAGCGCCCGAAGCTCTTCCTGCTGCAAACTTCTCCCACCTTGCTTCCGGCTAGTCCATAAGCCCTGTCGATCCGAAGATAAACCTTCCAACAAAGCACCCGCCTGCGCAGCCGCAAGGTCTCCCAAGACACATGACCCGAGATGCTCGAATTCCGCGCGCGCATCGGCAGGCGCGGCTTCCAGCAGCGTCGCCAAGATTATTGCGCCCATTCTGCGCAAGCATCACTACAAAAGGCAAGATCTGTGTGTTTGTTTCACCAGGGTGCCTGAGTTAGTGAGTTAGCTAGCTAGGTCGCTTCTTCCTTCGTTCTCGTTGTTTTGTCTCTCTATTTCTTTCTTTCTATGAATGTGGCGCTGTTGCTGTTGCTGTTGCTGTTTGGTTGTTGTTACCATTGCGACAGAAGCACCACCCAAGCATGCCCAAAGGGAAACAAGCTCCGGCGGACAGGGCGGGAATCGAGCCCGGGACCTTTCGCCGGAAACCCGTGCCGCGAGACAAAACCCCCACGGTCCCTGGAGCCGCCAAAAAAACGCGAAGAAATCGAGTTTGTGCGAGCCTGCGCAGTCGAAACACATGTCAACATCAAGCAAAAGCACGAATCTGCGGTACATACCACGCGAAACGCTCGCGGACAGAAGTCGACACCTCACTTTGTGCGAGCCTGCGCAGTCGAAACGCACTTCGACATCAAGCAAAAGCACGAATCTGCGGCACATACCACGCGAAACGCACGCGGACAGAAGTCGACACCTCACTTTGTGCGAGCCTGCGCAGTCGAAACGCACTTCGACATCAAGCAAGAGCACGAATCTGCGGTACATGACGCAAAACGCTCGCGGACAGAAGTCGACGCCTCACTTTGTGCGAGCCTGCGCAGTCGAAACGCACTTCGACATCAAGCAAGAGCACGGATCTGCGGTACATACCACGCAAAACGCTCGCGGACAGAAGTCGACGCCTCACTTTGTGCGAGCCTGCGCAGTCGAAACGCACTTCGACATCGAGCAAGAGCACGAAGCTGCGGTAAATACCACGCAAAACGCTCGCGGACAGAGCGGGCGCCTCAATCTGGCACCAGGGCCTTTTCTCTTACCGTAAGAACCCCTTAGTGTAGACACACTGTTTGGGGAACAAACAAACAGACAGACAGACAGTCAGACAAACAAGCAAACACACACAGACACACAGACACACACACACACACAGACAGACAGACAGACAGACAGACACACACACACCCACCCACCCACCCACCCACCCACCCACCCACCCACCCACCCACGCACGCACGCACGCACGCACGCACGCACGCACGCACCCACACACACACACCACAACCAACCAACCAACCAACCAGCCAGCCAGCCAGCCAGCCAGCCAGCCAGCCAGCCAGCCAGCCAGCCAGCCAGCCACAGCCAACCAACCAGCCAACCAACCAACCAACCAACCAACCAACCAACCAACCAACCAACCAACCAACCAACCAACCAACCAACCAACCAAACAATCACACAACCAAACAAACAAACAACCAAACAACCAACCAAACAACCAACCAACCAAACAAGCAAGCAAGCAGGCAAGCAAACAAGCAACCAATCACACACACAAGCAAACAAACATACAAACGAACAAACAAACCAACAAACGAACAAGCAAGCGAGCAAACAAGCAAGCAAGCGAGCTAGCAAGCGAACAAACAAACAAACAAACAATCAAACAAACAATCAACCGCTTTCACGACCACATGCGCAAACATATACATAGTCGAGCAAGCAAACACACACACAAAGCAATACGCACACGGCCAGCACACATACCAACAAATACAAGCGCGCGCACACACACAGACGCAAGTAAAGCGATAAAAAGACGAGCGTACAAGAACAGACACAGAAATACCAACTCACAAGTACACACAAACGGCATCTACGCAGATAAAATGGCAACACAAACACAAGCAGAACCAACCGCCCCGAGACTTCCACACACCGACAGCCTAACAAGCGCGCGCATCCATGCAATTGCTAGCATTCACACACACGCGCACGGACACACATGTCATGCCAAACGTTCTGCGCCGGTTTTGCCACGCAACAACTACCTGGGGCAGGGTGCTTCCGCTTGGCAGGACACTCGAAGAAGCTTTCTGTCCGCGTGGGTGCAGTTCCACCTCCAGGCCTGCGAGCCATTGCACGCTGCTTCCGTTGCTTCCAATGATTCGCTTTGCAAGCTGGTTCTCTTCGCGCGGAAGGTTCCGTGAAGGCGTTTCTCTTGACCTCTCTTTCGGATCTCAGGGACTTTCAGCAGACCTGCAACGTTCTGAGGGAAAATGAAGCGTGTGCGAGCGCTTGCGTTGAGAGGCAAGCTTTGGAAAAGCTGAGCAACTCTGACATGGGATAGCTATCGATGCATTGAAAGCTTGGAGTTTGCAGTCTGAAAGGACCTACAGAAGTGTGTTGCAGACACTGGCGAGGAGTTGCTGAAGGCAGGAGTGCTGTGTAGAGTTGCCCGTCTTACTTACACGTCGTCACACACCGCCCCTTGTGCCTTCTGCAGTGCTGCAGGCATCAGTGAGAAGAGCTGCAGGCTTGTCCGTGTCCACTTCCTGCACTCTTCAAGTGGCAGAGGAGGAGCGGGCAGTTGCGTGCATCTGTGCTCCTGACTTGCCGCCGCGCAGACGTTTTGTGTGCATGACGGTGACTGGACAAATTGCCTAGCCCCAAGAGCCAGAAGAATTCAGACACTGGCCAGCCGCAAGACTGCAAGGCAACTGTGGCCCGGACAAAGCCGAGTGCCTCAAGCAGAAGGCGACGGAAAAACGACAGTGCGGAGCGCAGAAGTAGACACTGGAGTGAATGCTGAGCTGTGTCGCAGGTCTGTGAGCTGTCCACTCATCATCGGAAGGGTGAGTTTTGTAGCTAGGCCGTGTGTCGGTGCCACAGACGCTGCAGAGTCAGGGTGAACACTGGCTGTGAACACTGGCTGAGCACTTGTACGGCTTTCGAAAGACGTGCCAATGTACATAATGTATGCGAGAAGGATGGCGAATAAGCCTGCAAAGACAGCTGTCTCGGAGTCCTGCCTTTGCAACCCTTGCACAGAGCTTTGCTTTGAACAGGCTTTCTCAGAGAATCCTCAAGCAGAAGATGCCAACAGCGCAGGCCAGTTGGGCTCGGCTGCGTTTCACATGTTGCAAAACACTTATTTGAGCGCGTGTGGCCCCGGGAAAGCGCCTTGTCGTCCTCGTGAGGGGTTTCAGAGATTTCAATCAGGCAGAATAATTTGTCCAGACTTGGTCACACGCCTCAATTCACCGAAAAAGACACATGCTCTTCGTCTTCCAGAAGGGCAGCTCATGCATTTGATCTGGTTGATATGGGAGCCTCCACTTTTTCACGGCAAAGCACATGCAACGCCCGCCCGCCCACGGACCCCCACCCCCAAACCGCGCACCTCCCCAAAAGATAGATAAAATAGAGGGACAGAGGTTTGGGGTGTGATTTTTAAAGTGTGTTTTTTTGTTTTGTCATTTCAATCGAACTGGTGTTTTTTTTTACTAGCCCCGGCTCGGGGCTTGGCCCCGGCCACTGATTGGTTGGTTGGTTGGTTGGTTGGTTGGTTAGTTGGTTGGTCAGCTGGGCGGCCGCATCCCCAGCATCCACAGCGTCACTGGCCTCGTTCGGACTGGGCGGCCAATTGGCTTTGATTAGGTGGCAGTGTTGCTCCGGGCTGGTTTCGGGGGATTGTTGGGCTTGCTGCGGTCTTATATAATGAGGGCGGGTCTTGGGCGCACCTTGGTGCATGAGTGAATGAGTGATTCGGCGCAGTTTTTGGAGGTCCCGTCCTGCGGGCAAGCCGCTTCGGCTCAACGTTGGGGGTTGGCGCCAATGGACTTGGTTGCTGCCTCGGGCTGCTTTGTTGCAGGCTTCGCGGTTGGCATCGTTTGGCTTTCGACTACTCGGGCATCGGCGCCTTTGACCCCTGCTCCGTGCCATTGCCAGCTCACAGTAGCGGTCCTTCTTCCGGTCTTGGCTTGCGGAAAGCGAGGCGTCTTCGGCGAGAAAGCGCCTTTGGTCCTGAGGGACCTGTGACAGCTGGATGGCGGCGCTGCAAGGACACGACGCAACGCACACGCGCAACCCGCCCAACATGCATCACAACACACAAGACAACACAGAACACAGCGCGCTGCGCAGCGTGCAATACAACCTGCGCAACGCACAACACAAAACGCGCAACACGCAACACGCGACACACAAACAACGTAACACAAAACTCACAACATATACACGACCGCACTGTCGCGTCGCGTCGCGTTGTGGTGCGTTGCGCTGCGTTGCGTCGCGTGTTTTCATCTTTGGGCGCTGCGTTGTGTGTTGCGCTGTGCGTGTGTGTGTGTGTGTGCTGCGCTCTGTGTTTTGTGCTGCGTGTGTTTACGTACTGCGCGTTGTGTGTGTGTGTTGTGTGCTTCGTGTAGCGTGGAGTGTTGCGCGTTGTGTTGCGGGATGCATCTTGTGCGTCGTTTCTTTTTGCGTCGTGTCGTGTTGCGTCATGTCGCACCGTATTGCGGCGTGTTGCGTCGGGTCGTGTCGCGTCGTGCAGCGTTGTCCTGCGTTGCGTCGGGAGCACTATAAGAAGGATCAGCAAAGCGGGTGACGTAGCCACAAAAGCGGCATCATTGACATAAGAATTCCCTACCCCCGCGTGTCCACATCATCCAGTCCGGCGTAAACTGCCCGAAGCGAGGCAGGGGCGCTACCTGGGAGCACGGTTCGGAGTCGAACAAAAACACAGAAAATTCCAAGAGCCCTCAAAGCAAAACAAATTCGGAAACATTGGCTGCGGCAATTTAATTTACGGGAACTGTTTCTTGGAGGGTCAGGAGCTCTCGCCACTTGGGAGCTTTGTCAAAATTAAACGCGCCACCAGTGCACCAACATCATCATCACCCTTCACCTCTTCCCCCCGGTAGAACAGGGGAGAACATAAGAGACAGTTTCAAGCCCTGCGCACGCACACGTGGATCAATCTCCGCGTAACCCCGCCATGGTGACTCCTCGGGTCAATTAGACTGTCTCTTCTGTTCTCCTCTCTTTTAGCACATCCCTCCGGCCATCAACGCCAACCAAGGCAACAACAAGCGACGGGGCAGCCTTAAATCTCCACACGCAAAGAAGGTCGGCGGCGCCGGGCGGCCCCACACACACACACGCACACAAACACACACATGCGCGCACATACATACATGCGCGCGGACACACCCACACACACAATCGCACACGCACACATGCGCACATGCACACACACAGACACACACACAGACACACACACAGACACAGACACACACACACAGACACACACAGACACACACACACAGACACACACACACAGACACACACACAGCCACACACACAGACACACACACACACAGAGACACACACACACAGACACACACAGAGAGACACACACACAGAGACACACACACAGAGACACACACACACAGAGACACGCACACAGAGGCAGACACACAGAGACACACACACAGAGACAAACACACAGAGACAGACACACAGAGACACACACACACAGAGACACACACACAGACACACACAGAGACGCACACAGACACACACACAGAGACACACACACACAGAGACACACACAGAGATACACACACACACACAGAGTCACACACGCAGAGACACACACGCAGAGACACACAGAGAGACACACAGAGAGACACACAGAGACACACACAGAGAGACACACAGAGAGACACACAGAGCGCCACACAGAGAGACACACAGAGAGACACACAGCGAGACACGCAGAGAGACACACAGAGAGACACACCGCGAGACACAAGAGAGACGCACAGAGAGACACACAGAGAGACACACAGAGAGACACACAGAGAGACACGCAGAGAGACACACAGAGAGACAGACTGAGAGACACACTGAGAGACACACAGAGAGACACACACAGAGACACACAGAGAGACACGCAGAGAGACACACAGAGAGACACACAGAGACACACACAGACACACACACACAGAGACACACACACAGACACACACAGACACACACAGAGACACACAGAGAGACACAGAGAGACACACACACACAGAGACGCACGCACAGAGACGCACGCACAGAGATGCACACAGAGACGCACACAGAGACGCACACAGAGGCACACAGAGACGCGCACAGAGACGCGCACAGAGACGCACACAGAGACGCACACAGAGATGCACACAGAGACTCACGCAGAGACGCACACAGAGATGCGCACAGAGACGCACACAGAGACGCACACAGAGACGCACACAGAGACGCACACAGAGACGCACACACAGAGACGCACGCAGAGACGCACACAGAGACGCGCACAGAGACGCGCACAGAGACGCGCACAGAGACGCGCACAGAGACGCAGAGAGACGCGCACAGAGACGCGCACAGAGACGCGCGCAGAGACGCGCACAGAGACGTGCACAGAGACGCGCGCTGAGACGCGCACAGAGACGCGCGCAGAGTCGCGCACAGAGACGCACACACAGACGCACAGAGACGCACAGAGACGCACAGAGACGCACAGAGACGCACAGAGACGCACACAGAGACGCACACAGAGACGCACACAGAGACGCACACAGAGACACACACACAGAGACACACAGAGACACACAGAGACACACAGAGACACACAGAGAACACAGAGACACAGAGACACAGAGACACACACACAGCGACACACACACAGAGACACACACACAGAGACACACACACACAGAGACAGACACACAGAGACAGACACACAGAGACAGACACACAGAGACAGACACAAAGAGACAGACGCACAGAGACAGACACACAGACACACAGACACACAGACACACACACACAGACACACAGACACAGAGACACACAGAGACACACAGAGACACACAGAGACACACAGAGAACACAGAGAACACAGAGACACAGAGACACACACACAGAGACACACACACAGACACTCACACAGAGACACACGCAGAGACACACACACAGAGACACACACAGAGACACACACGGAAACACACACAGAGACACACACAGAGACACACACACAGAGACACACACAGAGACACACACAGAGACACACACAGACAAACACAGAGACACACAGAGACACACAGAGACACAAAGAGACACACAGAGACACACAGAGACACACAGAGACACACAGAGACACAGACACAGAGACACACACAGACACACAGAGACACACAGAGAACACAGAGACACAGAGACACACACACAGAGACACACACACAGAGACAGACACACAGACACTCACACAGAGACACACGCAGAGACACACACAGAGACACACACAGAGACACACACGGAGACACACACAGAGACACACACAGAGACAGACACAGAGACACACACACAAAGAGACGCACACACAGTGACACACACACAGCGACACAGAGACACACACACAGAGACACACACACAGAGACAGACACACAGAGACAGACACACAGAGACAGACACACAGAGACAGACACACTGCGACGGACACACAGAGGCAGACGCACAGAGACACACACACAAAGGCAGACACACAGAGACACACACACACAGAGACACACACACAGAGACAGACACACAGAGACACACACACAGAGACACACACAGACACACACACAGAGACGCACACAGACACACACAGAGACACACACACACAGAGACACACACACAGAGATACACACACACAGAGACACACACACACACTGAGACACACACAGAGACACACACGCAGACACTCAGAGACACAGACACAGAGGCACACACACAGAGACACACACACAGAGACACACACACAGAGACACACACAGAGACACACAGAGACACACACACAGACACTCACACAGAGACACACACACAGACACACACAGAGTGAGACACACAGAGACACACACACAGAGACACACGCACAGAGACACACACAGAGACACACACAGAGACAGACACAGAGACAGACACACAGAGACAGACGCACAGAGACAGACAGACAGAGAGAGACGCACAGAGACACACACACACAGTGTCAAGAGATGGCAAGATGACGTCCCGTGGGACGCTGTCCACCGAGCCTC